TGTGAATTCTTAACTTGGCTTCTCACGCCATAGCTGTACAGGAGAAACACAAAATAATAAGTCGCTGCAACACTTACACTCCACCTCTCCCCCCAGTCCTTTTATTTTTGTACACACACACAAACAAATAAACAAACGAACAAACAAAGAGTACATCTCTCTGGTCTTCTGAAACCCAGCTCGTTGTTAATACAGTTCCTTCCCAATAGGATGACAAAAACAAAAAAAGCTTCCTCATTGGCTTTTTTTTTTGGGGTTTGTCTTCCCGCACCCCTCAATGCTTTATTGAAGCCTACACATCATACCACAAAACACAGTCATGAAACATCCATATGTTGCCCACACAAAGATGAATACACAGATTTATAGATGCAATAGATGTTATACGACCCAGCACACGGGCTGCCCATATTTTCACATGCCCGTACACACACAACCGGTCAGAGCTAAACCAAACAAGCCGTGGCAGTCTGAGCATCCAACACAAGTGAAAACAACAACGAGAACCGTAGCGTGGCCAGCAGCACCAGCATCAAAGGGACGATGAGGAGTAGGATGACATGGCTTTCCTGAGCGGAATCAATATGGCACAAAATACAGCTGTCACACACACACACACACACACACACACACAAAGAAAAAGAAATCTCGTGCTCTTTTTTTTTTCTTCTCACCACGACACGACGGCAGGCTCATTAGTACCCCAACGGCGTCTGTTAACAAGGCAACAACAACAACAACTACACAAAAAAAATTATTCTCTTATTTTGTGTTGTTCGCCCAGTGCTTCAATCTGAATTGAGCCCGAGTGAAATGCAACACGCTTGGCGGTGGGCCTTCTGCTCTGCGGTCTCTACACGCGCCAGACCAAGAAAGATGCAAGACCAAGAAAAACAAGCACCAATACCGCAAGACATTGGTTGGATGCCCCCCATGCAGTGGACCATGCTTACGGAGGAGCGGATACAAAGCCCCAGCGCGCAAAAGAAGAAATATGGAGAGACATCAGAGGACATGGAAAGAGGGAGTGGGAGCGGAGCTTTGCAGAAACGATACCCACACAGAAGATGCACCAACAAGCACAAAAGACACACACCTGCGCGTACCCTTCACGCATATCGTTGAAGTAGTGTACTCACATAATAAGACTTGGCGAGGTGAGGTGAAAATCCACTCCACAGCTTCGCAGAATTGAAGAGGGAAGTCGCGTCTCATGGAGACAAAGACACTCATAATGCATACACGCATAGATACATACATGTCTGCATCTGCAGGATCAATAGGCACATGCCCACAGACCCATATATATATATATATATATATATATATATGTGTGTGTGTAGACAGAGAAATAAACAGAAGAACATGTAGGACACGCAAAAATAAGTCCCCAAATAGAAATGCACACGCGCCGATACCCCCCAGACACAGAAGTGTGCCCCAATCACACACACACACAAAAAAAAAATAAATCAAACAAACACCAACAACAACAAAAATAATGCTGCGATCTGATCAATTGAAGAATCCTTGACACATCCTAGAAACTAGTCCAACCCAGCCTCCTCGCTAATGCGCATGAACACCTGCTCAATAGACGTCTCCGTGACGCTGTAGTCGGTGATGCCAGCCGCCGACCCATGCCCCTGCAGCACCGCGAACACCGACGAGAGAAGAGTCTCCTTCGGAAGCGCGTACACAAACCGCAGACTGCGGTACTCGTTCAGCACCGCCTCCGGGAACTGCTCCTCCATTAGCACCCGCACTCCATTGTAGCACGAGTTGTTGGAGATGCGAAGGCTCAGCTCGTATCCGCTGCCGTACTTGTCCTTCAGGTGCGACTTGTCGCCAATACAGTGCAGCGCGCCGTCTACCATGATGGCAACGCAGCTTGCAAGGTGTTCCACCTCCTCCAGGTGGTGCGTCGTTAACAGAACGGAGCAGAACTTCGAAACGCGCGCAATCGACATCCACGCACTGCGGCGCGCAACCGGATCCATGCCGGCGGTGGGCTCGTCTAGCAGCAGCACACGCGGCCCGCCCAACAGCGCCACCGCAAGGCTCAACTTGCGGCGGTTGCCGCCGCTAAGTTCAGACGACAAGGTTGTGCGGTACTCACTGACGCCGCACAGATTCAGCAGCGTCTCTACAACGGCGTCATGCTCTTCTGCCACAATACCATGCACGCTCGCATACAGCTGCAGGTGCTCCTCCACTGTCAAGAGGTCAAGACAGGCATCAAATTGCGGGCAGTAACCGATACATGCCCGGGCCTCTTCGCTCTGCTCTACAACGTCGTATCCGCAGATGAAAGCGCGGCCGCTAGTTGGAAGAGTGTCTTGGCACAGAACTGACATGGTGGTGGTCTTACCAGCGCCGTTGGTACCGAGGAAGCCAAAAACTTCTCCCTTCACAACCCCGAAGGCCAATCGTTGCACCGCCACCTTCCCGTTGCTATATACCTTGCGCATGTCTAACAGCGTCACGGCATCCGTCTCACTACCTCCTTCAAACCGAGTGTAGATGCAGTCACGCTCCTCTTCCACATCGCTGTCCTCCTGAAGCACAGTTGTGCTGTAAGAAAGCGGACTGTAGCCACGCCTCCGCAGCAGCATACGCAGCACTGGGTGATCCATCAAGAGGGTAAACAATACGAAGAACGGAAATTCGATCGCCATGAATACGCACGGCCAACCCACAACCTTCATCGACCATGCTGTGCGGCCGGGGTCTGTGTATTGCTCCAGCGGGAGTGTGGCGAGGTTGATGATTCCTTCCCCCACGGCGTAGGTTGGGAAGAAGCGGAACACCCAGCGAAGCTTGTTGGACACACCGCGTGTGCTGTCCATGAGAGTGAGGAGAAACACGGTGTTCACCAGCAGAAACCCAAAGCAGAACCCAACGATCATCACCAGGGTCTGCGCAGCTGTGTGGGTTTTGAAGCCGAAGCTCAGCGCGTAAGCCATTACCGTCCCAGTTAAACCAAATATGAACAGCAGCACAAATGTGGGACCGACTGTGTTAGAGCTAGCGTACTCCTTTTGATTGAATATGGCCAATATGACTATTACCAACAACATCGTTACAATATATGCAGCCATATCAAATAAGAAGTTCATGATCCAGTAGACACGAAAACGCAGGCCGGCAATATTCTGCAAGCGCCGCGCACCGCATTCACGCTCCTTCACCACCCACGCGACGCAGTTGGAAGGCAAAATGCTGAACGGAATCATAATGATGACACCCTTTAGAATCGTCCTGATATCATCCATGGGCTCATGGACTTGGGTGCTTGACAACCATTTTGCTGTTGTACGCATAGACGCGGCCACGCGACCCTTCGCAGTCTGCACGATCATTGAATATAATGTACTCAACGCGATTGCAGATTCGTGAGGGGCAGAGGTATTGTAGAACATCACAATGGGTTTAGTACCAAGCATAGATTCATATTCCGGGTCATTGCAGCTAAACGATGTATAGTGTGGAAACGCGTTAGCTAGTTGGTTGTCGACGTGGTAGTAAGACATATCCATAGAGTCCACCATGTTAAGGTCCCTCATGTGCACCCGAGTAGTACTGTTCGCAGGAGTAAAGTTCATCGTGTCGAAGAATGGCGCACATCCCGTTGTATCGCTCATAGTGTCGAAGGGATACACCGCAGGACTCAACTCCATCGATGACGGCGGCACTTCCCGCATGAGATCCAAAAGCACCGCCAGTAAAACGCACAACACCGGGCAGGCAATTTGAAAGCTGAGCATCTGCCAGTCACGCCGCGCGCAGGAGAGCCGCTTCTTCATCATGGCGAAGGACTGCATCGAAACCAGTCCCCATTTCCACTCCACACGACCGCACTGCCACAAGAGTTCCTTGTTTTCAGCGTCGTGCATCTGAGCCTCACCCTCGTTCTCTGCCACAATACGGAGGAAAACATCCTCCAGCGTTGAAGCCGACAACGTGAAGAAGCGGATGCCTACCTCCCCTGACACCATCTCAAGACAGGTGAGCAGCGGCACAAAGTCATACGCTTGGCACACCGGCAGGTGATACGTTAGCTCAACAGGGTTAGAGGATGCATATTTCGCGTCTGAAGCAAAGCGCACAATAATACCCTCAATTTCTTTTCGATTTGCGTCAGTACGAAGCGACATAGTGATTTTGTAACCCGTACCCAACCGGGACTTTAGGAACAGACTGCTCCCGCAGCACTGCAGCGAACCTCGATTCATCATGGCGACTTGATCGCCGAGAATGTCAGCCTCGTCCATGAAGTGTGTGGTGAGAAGGATTGTGTGCCTCTCAGACATACGCTGCAACAACTGCCACGTCTGGCGCCGCGCCGCCACATCCATACCGGCTGTGGGTTCGTCCAACAACACAAACCGACTCCCACCCACGAACGCCACCGCCACACTGAGCTTACGCTTCTGCCCACCACTAAGCGCCGCTGACTGGGTGTCCCGCTTGTCGTACAGCCCCACTTCACGTAGCATGCACTGCACTGCGTCTTCGAGCTCGGCACCCTTGAGGCCTTTGATGCGTGCAAAGAATTCCAGGTGCTCGCGGCATGTAAGAGTCGGCCACAATATGTTGTGCTGTGGGCAAAGGGCGATCTCCTGCCGTACCCGCTCCAATTCCTCACGCACGGAAAGGCCATACACGAGACAGTCACCAGCGTCCGGTTTTGTCAACCCCGTGATCATATTTACCGTCGTCGTCTTGCCCGCACCATTGTGGCCAAGCAGCACGGAGATGCTGTTTTCCGGGAGTTCCCAGTAGAGATTGTTAACCGCCACAAAAGGGTGACCGTTACGCTTGAACTCCTGCCGCAGTCCCAACAATTTCACCGCAGACACCCTCTCTTCATCGTCGCGGTAGTCACCCTCAAAGACACCACTCATGGCACGCCCATCGGGCCCTCCCTCAATATCACTCTTCTGCCCAGAGAAGTGCCTCCACGGTTTGATGATAAAGAATAGCGGATGCTCGGGTGTGCCCCATTCACGTGGCAGCACCGCTTCCATATACAACATCAGCAACAGGTACAGAAAAAAATCTGCAGTCAGCATGAGAAGAACTGACGTCATATTTGGACCATCAAGTGGATTGTTGAAGTCTCTTGGACCAAAGCCGCCACCAACCTCGTGATTAAACAAGATCCCCAGCGCCACGGAAAAGGCAGTCGGCGGAAGAAGGCAGAATACTGTATTTGCCGAAGCAGATACTGCCCACGTGGCGGAAATCGGAGCAGCTGCGGCAGAATAGATGAGCGGCGCCATCATGGATGCAAACCGGGACTTGCTGAAGAATGCGGCGATTAGACCTGCGAACGGAATCGTTGTCAGCGCGAACATGAATATGACGAAGAAGACAACTATATATTCCGTCCGAGCCAGGTAAAACTGCAGAAGTGCCGCACAGAGGATGGAGCTGACGAACATGAACATGATGCAAATAATGAACCACGAGATGTTCATGGAAATATTCTTCAGTCCCATGATCTGTACTGCCTCACGGATGCGCAATTCCTTCTCTAGCACACGCCGTCGCGCCATCTGCACCACAGGATACAAAAAGCCGAGAACAATGATAAACGCTACCAACCTGCCCGATGCCTCCAGCATTTTTGACACCCGGTACGGTCCATACCCCATCGACATGACATACGGTACAAAGTATCTCCTCACAGCGGAAGCCGAGACGACGGATTCCAGGTAGTAGTCGTACAGGATCCTCTGAAGTGTCAGGAACCCCGAGACAAGGTACATCTCCGACGTTTCACTCTGAAGCCCCCCGGGATAATTGACCGTGACAATTCCGTTAAACAACGGAAACGCATCTTGATGCATCTGTATATCCACGTCAAACTTTGCATTCGTCATGCTGTTGATATTAATAATGGCAAAGACTTCACCCTTGGCCACAGCGTCCTTTAGATCATCTGTGGTAGTGTACGTCCCAGCATATACATACCGAAAGAGTGTTGATACCGAATTAAAGTAGCTCAAGAGTGCGCTGGGCACCTTATCAGATGGGCCAATATACACAGAACCAACAGTAGATACAGCAGTGTAGTGAGTGGTGAACGATACACCAGCGTTGTTGAGCATGCCGTTGTCCGAAGATCCGCCCCGCGCTTGCTTGGCAGCATTCCAGTGGCACAGAAGAATGTTGTCAAGATCCGGAATGACGTTAAGGGACCCGAGTGAAGACTCTACAAACTCCACAAACGGTACAAACGGAGGGATGGTGCAAAGCCCCCTTACTGGGATGGTGCTCTCATCACCCGTACAGTCGACCGACCTGTTCAGAGCACTACAACTCGAAATTCCCGGTATCACATTTGGCTCCCCATCCAGACCGAGTATCGTGTCGTCATAGCAGAACTTGACCCTGTAGTCAAATGCCCCCGAGTTGGGCGCAGGCGACGTGTAATCAACAAAGATGCGCTCACTCTCGCTGGCCTCACCAAATATAAATGAAAGAATGACGCTGCACCCAATACAGATGAGTGGTACCAGCAATTCGAGAAGGGAGCTGCACCACGCTCGCCGTCGCTCCAAGATATCACGCTGGAGTACAGCCAGAGTCTGCGAGAAAAGGGTCGGTGATGAATGCGAAGCCATTGGGACACTCTTCATGGATTCTGATTTGCTTTCCGTATTGCTCCGCGAGGAGAGCGACGAGTTGTTGTAGTTGCTCATAATCTCGGAGAGACTGTGGCCTAGTGACTCTGAACCCATGATTAGTGAGCTGCAATGACCAATAATACCTCTTTGTTTCTTTTTTTTTTTCTTTGCCTTCCGTCCAGCTTAAGAAGAAAAGAACAGCAAGCGAGGCAGCTAGTGGCGGCAAGAGAAAGAACCACATGGGTAGGCGGTAGGGCACCGAAGGGAGGATAAATGAGAGGTTGAGGGCTATGCAGCGTCTCCAATACAGCCACCCCCCCACCAAGCAAAGAAACAAACAAACAAACAAGAATAGTCTCAGCCTTACTTTCCTCTAGCAGAGACAGTACAGAAAAGAGAGAGAGAGGGAGGGGAAATAGTTGTATTATCATTTTTCCTTCGATCGGCATTGGGTTTTTTCCCCAGACTTTCACACCCAATCAAGATATTCCCAATAAACCTCACATTTTATCCCCACTTGCGAAACGGAAGTGCTGAAAGCGTTTTTAACCCGCCTCCCGCCCCCCACCCTTCGAAGGTTCCGCCCTGTCGCTATGTCTTTGGCTGTGTCGTGCCGTCCCCTAGCAATTCCGCCTGCGGGATCGCCTTCTGAAGCCAGATAACGCCATGTGGTGCGCATCCGATGCTCACGCAGCGCCGTGTGAATGGCCAAAGCCTCGCGCACCAAGCCAACCGATTGGGTGTTGCCTTTCTTCACGATATGCATCACCGTTGTAGTACCCATGCATATTATGCAATGGGCCGTTAATGCGGTAAGGGAAAGCAAGCAATGCCAGGTGCACCGCTCGTGCTTCCTCCTGCGCGACATTATGGGAGGTGGTCTCCCCCACCCCCGCTCCTCCCCTTAAGCCCCTCCAGCAAGTGAGACCTCTCCCCAATCTGCGAATAATAAAGCGCCCCACCCGTACAAGGAGGTAACCGCAAGCAACGTGGCTGGAGTTGGCAAAGTTCGCGACGGACGTACTGGTCCATTCTTCGACAACTTGCCAAGCCACTGCATACCAAGTTGTAACGCATGCGGGGGCAAACGGACGGGATCAGCGGGACGCGCCGATCCCCTATTAAGGCGAGAGAAACGTCGCCTCACCATATTTAAGACACAAATAGCAAGGGAAGAGATATTCTCCCCCTACCCCGGCTGCATGTTACATGCGAGAGACTGTGCTCTCCATATCTTCAATCGAATCCGTCTGAAGCGGTGGCGATTCACGCAATCGTCGTATAATTTTCTCTCTCAATGAAACTGTCCGTTTTTTTTTCTTATGATCAAGCAATACCCCAATTAATTCGCACCATTGAAACAGCTTTTGGTGTTCCCTAACGGTTGCACCGCGCGCTTGCATATTCTCTGCCATGCATTTCCCCCAGTGCTTGACCACACCCCGTAGCCCACTTACGCGGATGTCATCAATCCATGTGTGTATCTTCAATGGATCTGGAGCTGCATGACACGGTTTACCCACCTCCGGGTTCTCTCACCAACACTTTCGCAATGGCGTGCAGAACTTTAGGGCTGCACCTCAAACCCATTGGAAGCCAATTTAACTCGACAAGTTACCCGCTTTCCGCGCGGCAACGGAACCCAGCCCGAATACCCTCAGGCAGACCCACCCGGAAAAAGGACACCTTTAGATCAAGCAAGGCGGCGGCATTCATCACAGACGGCACCAAGATAATGGGAAATGCGGCCCAGTGGAACGTCGGCCATCTAGCCTTCGTAGGCGTTCTTGGCCCTGGGGCATGCAATAAAGCGTCGTCGTTGCCCGGACGGCTTATCCCCCCACCAAGGGGAACACAACCACCCACTCTGTAGCGGAGCCGTTCGAAGCATAGTGAATAATGCCAGCCTCTTTCATGATTTTCGCATCCTTCTCCGGGATGCGCAATTGCGATTCATTCTCTACACGAGGCGCCTCATCGATTCCCACACCGCGCCAAAAACCGCCGTAGCGCCTCGATCCTGAGGCGCCAACGAACTCAAGAAAGGGAAAGAGTCCCGATATTCACTTCCTGGCGAGGCAAATCACTCTCTTCTTCCAGCGAAGCGACCCGTGTAGAATACCGACAACGAAGAGCGCTGTGCCCCGAGGAAGTTCCATGGTGTCGGCGTGTTTTCCCAATTACGCCACGAGACGGGGGTCCAGATCGTGTTCTACAGCTGCTGCTGCCGCATGCGCCAGGGCACCACCTTTTATGGAATGCCCATGAACACCTGCTCAATAGACGTCTCCGTGACGCTGTAGTCGGTGATGCCAGCCGCCGACCCATGCCCCTGCAGCACCGCGAACACCGACGAGAGAAGAGTCTCCTTCGGAAGCGCGTACACAAACCGCAGACTGCGGTACTCGTTCAGCACCGCCCCCGGGAACTGCTCCTCCATTAGCGCCCGCACTGCTGGAGATCAGCGCAGAGCATCTCGTTCAGTACAACGACCTGCTTTGTTGTGGTACACTATAACAAGTCGGCCCTGTTTACCACTTCCCAATGTTTATACACGAACCTGTTCGTCTCTTTCCTTCTTCTGTGTGTTTCCTACTCAGCAAAAGGCCACACCGACTCGTGCAGAAGACCAGGAGAGTTGTAGAAGGAAAAAAAAA